AGAAGTTGGTGATTTGAAGGAACTGCAAACACTAGACATTTCTACCAATCGTTTGCTAACTTTACCGGAGCGGCTTCACCTGTGCCTTTCTCTGCAGTACCTAACGGTAGACCGAAATCATCTATGGTGTGTACCGCGTCATCTCTGCCAGCTTCCCAGCCTCAATGAGCTCTCCATGGCTGGAAATCGTCTTGCATTTTTGCCACTTGGTAAGTGATCATGTTTATGTGGTAAAGCAAAATACCCAAAGAATAAGTTGGAAAACATTGTTTCCTTGAATAGAAAGAATGAACTGATTTCCTTCTTTCTCCTTATCTTGAAAATTGGCTAAGTCTATTTCTGCAGTGGCCAAAGCATTATTCCCAGTCAGCAGATAGAGTTTGTTTCAGATCAGGATTTCATATTGAAAAAAAAAAGAAATCTGTTCTGAAATATGTCTAAGGTTAAAACATATGAGATGTTACATAGTTTACTCTCGAGAAATACACACATATAACATGCACTACTGTAAATTTAATAGAGGGTATTAAGTAAAAGGGGAGCAATATGGCTCTGTGTGATAAGGACTGGACTGTGAACCACACACATGTCAGTGACTGGAGCCCACCAGCTGCTCCACTGGAGAGGGATGAGGCTTTCTGCTTTCCCAGAGATGTACAGCATCGGAAACCCTATACAGAGTTGCTTTGAGTTGGAAGTGCCTTGATGGCAATTAAATGAGTAATGTGAAATGGTGATTTACCTACTGGTACAAATATATCTGATGAGGTATTGACTTCAGGTAGAAAAATTGATGCAGAGTATTCTAATAAGTATTGTCAGATAGCCAGACTACCAACTTTTAACGGTTTTATAATTGCTAAACTTCCTGATGAGCTCTACATGCCACCTTAGTTGATAAGTAACACATTAGCCGTTTTCAAGTTCTTTGAAATAACATATGTCAAAGAACATAGGTCTTTAGGAAATACAGTTGAATTGTTTTGGTAGCTTATAAGAAACATAAGGCTTGTAAGGAGCATAGGACTCTTATACCCCTACAATGTTCCACTAAGCCTTATATAATTTTCTTATAGAAGCATTTTTATAATGAATAATTTATCTATGAGAACAATGAAATGAATAACTTACTAGTCCCTGCCAAATGGAAATATTTTCCAACATGTAACACTGTACATATTATTATCAATTTAAAATATTCTTCAAGGAAATTTTTAAATACTAGCAGACATTAGAATCAATGAGTAATAATAAGTAATTGTCAAATTTGAAGAGACTACATTTAAGTAAATATAATTAAATTCAATGTACATACACTTCATAAAACAAAATACAATGGTGCTTTAAAAAGTTTATGGAAACATTCAGTAATCTTTCAATTCCATTTTTGCACAAACTTTTTGAGGACCCCTCACAAACCCATTTGAAAACCAAACTATATTTCTAAGAAATCAGCTTTTTTCAAGTGATAAAAATACCAAATATAAGAAGCTTTTGCAAAGTCAGTGTACTTGCTGCACTGCCCTTACCATAGGTTGTAGAACGATTATAGTGGACAAGCGCCAATTTCATGTCTGAATGCTTAGAGTCTAGCTTGGTTCACCACTTCACAGTGAGTGGCTTTGAGTAAATCACCAAAGCCTCTCAGAGTCTCATTTTTCTTATTTTATACCAGAGATAATAATATTTATCCTACTTACTTTAGAATTATTTTGAAGTCAAATCAGATAGTTTATGTATAAGAGCTCTATAATTAGACAAATGCAGATGACTCTCAGCTGAGAACACACAATTAGTAGATTCCCAAATCTTATTTTTGAAAACTTTTTATTGTGAATTGAGTGAAGGTTTACAGAACAGATCATCAGTGTTAAATTAATCAGATTGTAGACTTTCCTTCATTACAGTGATTGCAGTCCCTTCCATGTACCATCAGTTAAGGTTTTCACCTCTATTTTCTTTAACTCCTGCACTCCTCCCTGTGTGTCCTGCTACCTTCATCATTCATTGCCACCCTTCCTCTTGTATAATACTTGACCTTGTCACCCATGTTAACATGTCTACCCACTGGCCCATGAATAATTCCCTTCCCCCCATCTACCCACTGGTAACCATCATAGAATATTTCATTTAACAAGACATTTTTATAACTTTTTACAACAGTGGTCTCATACAATATTTGACCTTTTGAGATTGACTAATTTCACTTAGCATAATGTCCATGTTGTTCATCCATGTTGTGAGATATTTTGCACATTTGTTATTCTTCAATGTAGCATAATATTCCATTGTGTGTGTGTACCAAAGTTTGTTTAACCGTTTTTTCTGTTGATGGGCATTTAGATTGTCTCCATCTCTTTGCTATTATGAATAGTGCTGCAAATGAACATTGGTGTACATATAGCTAGTCCTGTCACAGCTATTATTTCTTGAGGATATATACCAAGGAGTGGGATTGCTCGGTCATATGGTTTTTAAACCTACTAGCTGCTCCTCAAAAACCCTGCACAGGGTCGCCATGGGTCAGAATCGACTCATAGCACTTAATAACAACAACAACATGGTATTTCAGTTTCCAACTTCTTAATAAATCATTATGCCGTTTTCCACAGTGGCTGCACCATTTTACAGTCTCACCAGCAGTGTTGTTGTTGTTAGGTGTCATCGAGTCGGAACCGACTCATAGCAACCCTATGCACAGCAGAACGAAACAATGTCCGATCCTGGGCCAACCTCACTATTGTTGCCACACTTGAACCCATCAGTGCTGCCATCTCGTTGGGGGTCTTCCTCTTTTTCTCTGACCCTCCATCTTACCAAGCATGATATCCTTCTCCAGTGACTGTACCCTCCTGACAATATGTCCAAAGTATGAGAGATGAAGTTTGGCCATCTTGGCCTCTAAGGAGAGATCTGGCTGCACTTCTTCCAAAACAGATCTGTTGGTTCTTTTGACATCCCACGGCACTTTTAGTATTCTCCAACACCATAATTCAAAGGCATCAGTTCTTCTACGATCTTCCTTATTCACTGTCCAGCTTTTGCATGCATATGAGGTTATTGAAAATACCATGGCTTGGGTCAGGCACGCCTTAGTTCTCAAGCTGACATCTTTGCCCTTCAACACTTTTGAAAGTTCCTGTGCAGCAGATTTGCCTAATGCAATACGTTGTCTGATCTCTTGACTGCTGCTTCTGCGGGTGTTGATAGTTGATCCAAGAAGAATGAAGTCCTTGACAACTTCAATCTTTTCTCTGTTGATAAGAATGTTGTTTATTGGTCCAGTGGTGAGGATTTTTGTTTTCTTTACATTGAGATGCAATCCATACCAAAGGCTGTGTTCTTTGATCTTCATCAGTAAATGTTTAAGTCCTTTCACTTTCAGAAAGCAAGGTTGTATCATCTGCATATCGCAGGTTGTTAATGAGTCTTCCTCCAATCCTGACGCCATGTTTTTCTTCATAGAACCTAGCTTCTCAGATTATTTGCTCAGCATACAGGTTGAATAAGTATGATGAAAGAATACAACCTTGTTGCACACCTTTCTTAATTTTAAAACATTCAGTGTTCCCATGCTCTGTTCGAACAACTGCTTCTTGGTCCAGGTACAGATTCCTCATGAGCACAATTAAGTGTTCTCATACTTCACAATGTTGTCCATAGCTCGTCATGATCCACACAATCGAAAGCCTTTGTGTAGTCAATAAAGCATAGGTAAACATCTTTCTGATAGTCTCTGCTTTCAGCCAAGATCCATTGGACATCAGCAATGCTATCTCTCATTCCACGGCCTCTTCTGAATCCAGCTTGAACCTCTGGAAGTTCTCTGTCAATGTATGATTGTAGCCGTTTCTCTATTACCTTTAGCAAAACTTCACTCGCTTGAGATATCAAAGAGATTGTCCTATGATTTCCACATTCCGTTGGGTCACCTGTCTTTGGAATGGTCACAAATATGGATCTCTTTCAATCAGTCAGCAGATAGTTGTCTTCCAAATTTCTTGGCAGAGATGAGTGAGTGCCTCTTGTGCCGCCTCACTTTGTTGAAAGATTTCAATTTTTATTCCTCTTTGCCAATTCCTTCAATGCACTTTGGACTCCCTCCCTGAGTATCATTGGCTGTTGATCATATGGTACCGTTGCTTCTCAGAATCCCTATACAGGGTTGCTATGAGTGAGAACTAACTCGACAGCACTTAACAACACCACCACCACAGTGGCTAATGATCATGAGAATTTCTACATATGTTTGTTGGCCACCTGAATGTCTTCTTTGGTGAAGTGTCTGTTCATGTCCTGTGCCCATTTTTAATTGGGTTATTTGTCTTCTTATTGAGACATTGAAATGTTCTATAAATTTTGAATAGTAGTCCTTTGATATGTCTTTCCCAAGCATTTTTCTCAATCTGTGGGTTTTCTTGTTATTCAGTTGGTGAAATCCTTTGATACACATAGTGCCTACTTGTTACGAGGTCCCAGTTACCTGTTTTTTCTTGTTTGTGTGATTTCAGTTATGTATTTATGCCAGGCAACAGAGTCCTAGGCTTCTTCCTATTTTTCAATGAGGATCTTTATAGTTCTAGACTTTACATTTGAAGTCTTTAATTCATGTTGAGATCATTTTTGTATATGGTGTGAGATATGGGTCTTGTTTCATTTTTCTGCAAATGGATTTCCAGTTTTGCCAGCACCATATGTTGAAGAGAGTATCTCTTCCCCCATTTAATGTATTTTGGCCC